TAACACAAGATGCCGGCAGAAATATGAATAAAATGGCAGATAAAACTGTTTATTTTAAACCAACAAACATGAAAACCACGTTGACTGATTTACTTACACATAAAATTCACTGCCGTTTCGCAACTATCATTATTATTATCCTTTTAATTTAGTTAACTTTTGTTTTGTAAGCTGATGAAAATTCGAAAATTTCGATGATAAGCGGGAAAAACGTTTCAACGTTGGTGTCTGCTTAACAAGCCACATAAAATCTTTTTTTTTCTGAATTCTACCTGCACGCTTTTATCCTTTAAAACGTTTCGAAATCGATCTTCATTTACATAGCAATAGTGGTTAAGTACACTTTTTATTGTCTTCACCTCTCGCTGAAAGGAGGACGTGGCCTGATTTTTAGGTACGTGTTCGTGTTTACTTCATATCATCATGTATATACTACAGGAAACTTTTTAAAAAAAAATTAAATGTATACACCAATTTCAAAATAAAACTTTAAGCCACGCAGGATTCCCACAAAATCGTTTGTATTCGTTTCCCAGACAACGTTACAAATTTTTCCTGACCAAATTTTGCAAAGGAACTTTATTGTTTATCTACGTTTTTTCAGTTACGTGCTCACCAATCCCTGTTCAGCATTACTACATACTGACCAATCCCTGTTCAGCATTACTATATATTGGTCAATCCCTGTTCAGCATTACTATATATTGGCCAATCCCTGTTCAGCATTACTATATATTGGCCAATCTCTGTTCAGCATTACTATATATTGGCCAATCCCTGTTCAGCATTACTATATATTGGCCAATCCCTATTCAGCATTACTATATATTGGCCAATCCCTATTCAGCATTACTATATATTAGCCAATCCCTATTCAGCATTACTATATATTGGCTAATCCCTATTCAGCATTACTATATATTGGCCAATCCCTATTCAGCATTACTATATATTGGCCAATCCCTATTCAGCATCACTATATATTGGCCAATCCCTGTTCAGCGTTTTTATATGATGCCGTAGTACAAGCTGTAAAATATTTGGATTTTCAGGATAAACTTACCCGACAACTCCACCAGAAGGAGTATATTTTTTGATGTTTCGTCCTTCACATAATCATAAAATATTTTCCTTTTTAATCTCTGCATTTCACTTCTATATTATTATTATTCAATATTTCATGTTCTGTAACACAGAAAGGTTTATTTTGCAGACTTTCCCTGACCAATTACCAGTTCGATTTCCTTTCATTTCCCTGACCAATTACCAGGTAATTGGTCAGGGAAATGAAGGAAATTGAACTGGTAATTGGTCAGGGAAATGAAGGAAATTGAACTTGAACTGGTAATTGGTCAGGGAAAATGAAGGAAATTGAACTCATGCTCTAAAGGCCTTTTGTTCTAAAACGTTTTAGATAGGGAGAAAAATATCCTTATCCGGATAAACCCGACGAAACGTTCTGTGTATTTTATTTTTTATTCTTTTGATATTTTAGGGTTTCCACAAACTTGGAAAGTCAGTAAAATTTAAATTGGTCAGGGAAATGAAGGAAATTGAACTGGTAATTGGTCAGGGAAAGTGAAGGAAATTGAACTGGTAATTGGTCAGGGAAATGAAGGAAATTTATTATATACCAACTTTACTGGGAACCTAATAAACATGTGTATTCCCGTTCCCAGTAAAGTTGGTTTATAATAAAACACGTGTATTTCCATACCAATCTTGTGGGAAACGGGAATTCACTTCTATCTACAAACTATGCTTGCTTAAAAAACATTTCATATAATCATGGCGAAATCATACACAAACATTTGTAACTCTATGTATATTTCTTTATATAGCGTTTTCCATAGATGGCTCAAATATTTAGCAAAAGACAAAATTTCCACCCGATGTTCTTAAACTTTCGAGAAACACTCAGACCATGCGATGTTTGAATAGTTTGTCAATTTCCAGCACGTGCTGTTGTTTCCACGTGTTTTCTATTCTAAATTAAGGGTCTACTACTGCCTAGGAGGGTCTTCTCTTCAACTAGAGATGAATTACTGTACAGTGAGACAATATTCATTCACAATATCGTCACTTTTCTGCGTTCAGTGCCGAAACGAATTCTTCCAGTTTTTCTTGTATCTGACGAACACGTTCTGAAAGAAAAGAAAAGAAAAAAGGATTACATAGATGTCTCGAAATCATACAATTTGTGAACCAAGGAAGGCAACTGAGGGGACCCCCCCCCGAGAAGATCAGGGGAGGCTGGTAGTAAAAGTACCAGTTTTACGCTTTCACAGGGTGTGTTGTAAAGTACAGTAAAAACAAAAACAAACAAGGCTACTTATTAATACTTAACTAATAACCACGACATTACATGTTCCATGATCGAGATACTTAACTAATAACCACGACACTACGTGTTCTATGATCGAGATACTTAACTTATAACCACGACACTACGTGTTCTATGGTCGAGATACTTAATTAATAACCACGACACTACGTGTTCTATGATCGAGATACTTAACTTATAACCACGACACTACGTGTTCTATGGTCGAGATACTTAACTAATAACCACGACACTACGTGTTCTATGATCGAGATACTTAACTTATAACCACGACACTACGTGTTCTATGACCCAGATACTTAACTAATAACCACGACACTACGTGTTCTATGACCTAGATACTTAACTAATAACCACGACACTACGTGTTCTATGATCGAGATACTTAACTAATAATCACGACACTACTTGTTCTATGGTCGAGATACTTAACTTATAACCACGACACAACGTGTTCTATGACCTAGATACTTAACTAATAACCACGAAACTCCGTGTTCTATGACCTAGATACTTAACTAATAACCACGACACTACGTGTTCTATGACCTAGATACTTAACTAATAACCACGACACTACGTGTTCTATGATCTAGATACTTAACTAATAACCACGACACCACGTGTTCTACGACCTAGATACTTAACTAATAACCACGACACTACGAAAGACCAAAATTAAACTGCAGATGTTTCTGTATCAACAAGTACATAATAGGTTTTCTACACTGTAACCAACATTAACCCTGTCATATCGATTAAACTACTATACTTACATACACAAAGAATAACACCTTATCTTTCACGATTGGTCACAAACGAGACTATTAAAGCCGGATGGTAGACGTAGAAGTCAGGTGAAAGAAACGAGACGAACAACTTTATGAAAATGAAGACGATGCGATCGTTGAGCTGGACAGTACCAACGTTAAGGCCACAGTTGAGCTGGACAGTACCAACGTTAAGCCCACAGTTGTGATGAACAGTAACAACGTTAAGGCCAC